TTAGTGTATATTTAGTTGATGTTTTTCTTAGTTCATATCTTAGATGTTATTACTGTTTTTCTTATACATTTTATTGTTGGATGTAACTGGGACCCTGTGTACATAATTTCGCTCCACCACATGTACCACATGAGGTGCGAATGACAATAAAGAAACTCTGACTCTGACATAATAATCTTATTGTTCATATTAAAAACTTAACACCAACCCATTTCCTCAACATACATGTAATTGCTGTGTTGAAATCCTGACATCCCACCTCTATAAGTTAAAGCTATGGTGGATGTAACTGTTCAGTCTGTATACATAAAAGAACAAAGACAGAACTGTTAAATATTGTGTCACCGCAGAAAATACACGAGCAACACTTCAGTCCGTATATGAATCGAAGTATTTATTTCAAAACCTGGAAAAATAAAAACAAACCCACCAACATTGTTTTAGTAGAATATCATACAAAGACGTTTCAATGTTGCTGTGTGAGTATTTGTTTCTGACTACAGTGTGAGGCAGTTTGAAAGGCTGGCTGAGCTGGTAGAACTACAGACACACAAAGGTTAATAAAAGAGGGTTTGGACAAAATGAAAACACAAAAACTGTGCACTTCGTCATTCAAGACACTTGGGATACAACCGAAAAACATCTTCACTTGATTTCTATATTACAGTTCGTGATGAACAGTTGAACCAGGCGTGAAGGAAGAGACTGAACCGTTCTTGGACCTGGAAACAACAGAACTGCACACGATGCTCGCTTCAACCTGGTTGGAGCAGAAAGGCGACGACAAATGGAAAACGTTTCAGAGTCAGCGACAGTTTTCTTATCCTCCAAGAGCTCTGAGCTTCAATTTCAACTGAAGAAGAAGAAAAAAAGTTTACATAGAGCAGTGTCTGTTAAAAATCCAGCTGGCGAGGAGTGTTGCTGTTATTAAGCTTGACCAGGAAGTTCGGTGAGACGTCAACTCCTTCAGGGAGAAACAATGACTGCTTAAAGCCGTGGGGCATTCAGGTGCACTGTTTTTATCTGCAAAATATGATGCTTTTTTCCCCCAAACATACAGGTGCTGGTCATAAAATTAGAATATCCAGGAAAAAAGTTTATTTACTTCAGTAATTCCATTCAAAAAGTGAAACTTGTATATTATATTATTTCATTACACACAGACTGATATATTTCAAATGTTTATTTATTTTAATGTTGATGACAACTAAATAGAATGGTAAATGAACTGTACTTATATAGCGCCTTTCTATCTTATTTCAAGATACTCAAAGTGCTTCACACTACAATCTGTGCCTCATTTACCCATTCATACAGCTCTATACTAGATCTATACAAAACTAATTGAACAAATCATTCTAAAGAGACTAATCAGTGCTTTATCACATTCATACACTGATGGAACACACATCTGAGGCTATGAGGGGTTCAGTGTCTTACCCAGGGACACTTCAGCATGTGACTGCTGGTGGATTTGGACCCCCAACTCTCGCATTGGAGGACGACTGCTCTAACCACTCAGCCACAGCCACCCAATGAAAACTAACGCAAACCCCAAATTCAGTATCTCAGAAAATTAGAATATTGTGAAAAGGTTCAATATTGAAGAAACCTGGTGCCACACTCTAATCAGATAATTAACTCAAAACACTTGCAAAGGCCTTTAAATGGTCTTTAAAGTTTCCACAGTCAGTGATGGTTTGGGGTGCATGTCATCTGCTGGTGTTGGTCCACTGTGTTTTCTGAGGTCCAAGATCAACGCAACCATCTACCAGGAAGTTTTAGAGACTTCATGCTTCCTGCTGCTGACCAACTTTATGGAGATGCAATTTAATTTTCCAACAGGACTTGGCACCAGCACACAGTGCCAAACCTACCAGTACCTGGTTTAAGAACCATGGTATCCCTGTTCTTAATTGGCCAGCAAACTCGCCTGACCTTAACCCCATAGAAAATCTATGGAGTATTGTGAAGAGGAAGATGTGATACACCAGACCCAATAATTCAGAAGAGCTGAAGGCCACTATCAGAACAACCTGGGCTCTCATAACACCTGAGCAGTGATCGACTCCATGTCACGCCACATTGCTGCAGTAATCCAGGCAAAAGGAGCCCAACTAAGTACTGAGTGTTGTACATGCTCATACTTTTCATGTTCATACTATTCAGTTGGCCAACATTTCTAAAAATTATTTTTTTATTGATCTTAAGTAACAAAGTCCATGCTCAATAATCCAGGTACACAATCCAACATTTTTCAGTCAGGTCATCTGGACAGTTTCTTTTTTTTTGTGCTGAAACATTTCGTCTTTGATCCGGAAGGCTTCATCAGTCAAGGAATTGTTGTTTTCAACCAGTTTGACAAAACTGTCAACAAGGAAGAGGGCCGGCAATGGAGGAGGGGGCGTACCAAAGAGACCATCTTATCACAAGCAGAACTGGTTTGTTCCACTTTGGAGGAAGCTGTTGGGGGAAGAATCAGTTTTGTTGTGTTTCCTTGACTTATGAAGCCTTCCGGACCGAAGGCGAAACGTTTCAGCACAAAAAAAGAAACTGTCCAGATGACCTGACTGAAAAATGTTGGATAACAAATAGGGTTAATTTTGAACTAGTTTCTGAAATTTGTGATAAAAAAGGTAGATTTGTTATCATTAACGGGAAAATTGAAGGAAAACAAACAACTTTATTTAATATTTATGCCCCCCCCTGGAAGCCCAATTTCTTTTTTCAAGAAAGTATTTGATTTAAAACTTTAGAAAATTATGGCACCATGATATGCACAGGGGACTTTAGCTTATTGATGAATCCTATGTTAGACACAACTAATAAAAAGAGGGAAATGAACCTTATATATAAAAAATGGGTAAATAAGACAGTCAGAACTTCAGGCCTAAAAGACGTATGGTGTGAATTACACAGACAAGAAAAAGATTTTACTTTTTACTCAGCCCGTCACAACTCATACTCGAGAATTGATTATTATCTAATGTTTAAGAATGAGCTTCATAGAGTGAAATACTGTAAAATAGGACAAAGGGATGCCTCGGATCACAGAGGTCTCTTTTTAAACATCTGGATGAAGGGAGAAAGAAAACAGACTGGAGACTGAATTTAGGTATATTAAACAATGAGGAACAAAAGAAAGCAATAATAGATGAATACAAAGATTTTCTATCCTTAAACGATAATGGGGAAGTGAGTGCAGCCATCCTATGGGATACAGCTAAAGTATATATACGGGGCAAACTTATAGCCAAAGCAGCGTCTCAGAAAAAAACTCAAGTATGATCGATTATACAACTTGGAAAATAGACTCAGAGAGTTGGAAAAACTACATAGTCAAAATAAAGACCCCTCACTACTAACCCTAAGTCGACCTATTAAACAGGAGATAAAAAGATTTATAATGAAGATATAGAGAAAAATATACAGTACATGAAAAAGAGGTACTGTGAGGCTGGACCAAAAGCTGCAAAACTGTTGGCATGGAAAATACGCAAGCAACAAGAAGAAAGGGCAATTCATAAAATCAAGGATCCAAATACAAACAAATTAAAAACTAAATTGAATAAAATTCATAGCTCATTTGAAAAATATATATATATATATATATATATATACACACACACACACACAAAAAGGGGAAGTTAGCAGTCATAAAATTGATACATTTTTGAACTCATTAGACCTCCCATCACTGGATAGAACCCAAAATGATATTCTTCTGAATGGAATCTCAGATGTAGAAATTGATAAAACAATCTCTGCATTAAATCAAATAAAGCACCTGGCATAGATGGCTACCCAGCTGAGTGGTACAAGCATAGGCGTCGCAACCATTATATGTGAAGGGGACAAGTCCCCACCACATAAAAAAAACCCGTTCATTTGGACCCCCAACTTTTACTATGAAACATTAGTTAAAGCGGCGCAGTTTCTCTTTCTTCGTGAACAAATCCATTCCACTTGATCAATAGGAGAATACT